CCCCCCCCCCCCCCCCCACTCTCTCACCTCCATGATGCAGTTTGCAGCCTCCGCCATCTTGCGAATGAGACAGAAAAGAGAACCGCTGGCCGGACTCCCCCAGCCTTGTTCAGTCGAGGGGAGGAGACTGGGCGTTCCATTGGGCGGCCTCGGCGTCATTCAAAAGGAATGGGGGGGAGGAAAAGAGGGCAGCCCCGCCTCCCAGGTTTTCATTGGTCGATGGGGTCTCCTTCAGTCAGAAAGGGAAAGGGCCCTCCCTCACGTTATTTCAAACCGTATTGGGCGCACTTAGAGGAAGGACTCGACGCGCGCAGGCGCAGACTCTTTTTTGCGTTCGATAGACAAAAAGTGGGGAGCGTTGGGAAACGCCTCCTCATGATTGCCATTGGTGAAATAAGAAACCTTTCACCAATAAGGATCAGAGGAAATTTCTCCGATAATTTATTGGTGAATGTAGATGTCAGTTACAGCAAGGTATCTGCGTTTCTCCCAGCCTTTGGTGTCTTAATTTCTAAGGGGTGGGAAGAAGCAACGCATTGATTACCTGAAGTGGCTGTCAAAGAAGAGCGTTCTCATTTAAACCTCATATTGCAGCCTATTTCACCATGAGGGAAGTACAATATGACAAAAGATGGGAGGGAGGAGGCGCCATTTATTTTGAAGGAGAAAGAACCGTGGCAAATACCGAAAACTCTCAGTTCCCAAAGTATTAAGATAAGATAACCTTTGTCATTTTTTACTGGGAGCACATTAAAAATGAAGTTCTCTTGCCTGCTCTCAAAAAAAAGTATATATCTACCCATACACATAACACACATATATACAAATTCTATATATACCGTACATACACACACACACACACACACACCACTATCCATTTTGAATACATAGCAGAAAGAGGAAACTTCTGACTTCACAAGGTTGATGCTATATGGGACAAAATTGTGACTGAATCTAGATGTTCTGCTTCGGGTACCACAAAGCCTCCTCCCAGAAAGTAACAAGGAAAACAGGTCGTGAAGAGGATGTGTAGAGTCCCAGATAATATTGCGGACCCTGTTCAACCATCGCTTATATGCCATGTTCTGGATAGAATTATTGAAAGCTATACTCCTTGCAATTGCCTTCAGAGGGGAATATGCCCATCCTAGAACTAGGGGAAACACGATTGGCTGTCGAGGTGCCATTCAATAGCAAAATGTCGCTTATTAAATCTTTTTTGTCTTGGGGGGTCATATTTTAATTAACCACCTCTTATAATATCCTTCATTCGCTTTTCAACGACCTGTTTGCCATTTTAGATATGCCATTGGTAGAAAATCAAATGCAGCAGCAGTTATTAGTATAGCAATTCAGTGATTTATATTAATCAATCACGTTCTACTGGGAAGACCGAAGCATCTGGCTGGCCCTTTTGCTCATAGGCTGGCACTTTTGTTAATTGGTGGAAATTAGGATCAATTAATAAACTAACCGATATCACTGGCTGCTTTTGTGATCATTCATGGGGCGCGAACTTTCTCCACCAACGAATGAAAGCTTCCTGGAAAATAAGGGGCGGGTCTTTTGAATTCTCTCGTGGAAGCTGGTTGGTAGAAGTTTGGCTCTTTCCTATTGGTCCGACGTGAGGCCATTGACAAAAATGTGTTAGAGAAGTTGGGAAAACGTGCGTGTGCGGGTGTAATATGTTGGGTAGCTTCTCGATCAATGCAGAGGAAGTTTTCTTTGTTTTTAAAAAAGCAAGGTCGACTAACCGGAGTCTGTTATTTAATACAATTAATAGAATAATTTATTGCCAAATGGGAAATCTTGAATAAATGCTCAAAACATTGACAAATTCTTTGCAACTCGAAACTAGACAGTAATTGTGGGGAGCATAAAAGTGTTTTAAACACCATCACGATGTGTCTTATAAGAACAAATGATACCAAGAGGCACCAGATCCCCATGAGCTAAAGTAAAAGAAACTGGGATTGCATCTGTCATATTCCCTCTTATTTTTCTATTTTAATTTATAATCCTATGTTATGAAAATTGTTCTTGAATCAGTCTCTTGTAGCCTATCTTACCACATAAGAATGTTGCTAAGATAAAATGAAGGGAGCTGGGGAATTTTTGATTCAGCTTTTCCTGATGTGCTGTCATCTAGGTAAGTCAGGTTTCATTCTACTTCCAACCAAAGGACCTTGAGCTCACAATTATGTGGAAAATTGGTTTAGTGCTTTTGAAGGCTGAAAATAGAAATGAAAAAAGTAATAAAATAAAAATCTCATGCAACTAAATCTCAATTATAAATTCTATGGTGCATAAAACCCCATGCATGGGTTATAGCCCTTATGTTCCATATAAGTAAGCTATCCAAAGACATCCAAATCATAAAGAATCTGTATCCGCATCATGTAGCAAATGTGAAACTAGGCCAAAAATACTCAGCTGATGCAGAAATAAGAAGGGTCAGGCAGGGATGTATTCTGTCTCCACTGTTGTTCAATATCTACTCTGAGTCAATCTTCAACGAGGTACTGGAGAACATCGATGCCGGCATCAAAGTAAATGGTGTTTGGATCAACAACTTAAGATATGCTGATGATACAGTTCTGCTTGCCAGTAAGCATGAAGACCTCATCAGCTCCTCATCAACAGTCACAGAAATATCTGAAAAATACGGCTTGAAGCTTAACACCTCAAAAACCAAGATCATGGTCGTCAGCAAACAACCTGTTAATTTACCACCAATAAATCCAGAAGGAATACCACTAGAAAAAGTTGAAAAGATCACGCACTTTGGTTCTGATTTACATGAAAGCTGGGACATGACCACTGAAGTAAAGACAAGGATAGAGAAAGCTCGAACAGCATTCTTCAAAATGAAAAAGGTCTTCTGCAGTCACGACATAAGCCTAAGACTGAAAATCAGGCTTGTCAGATGCTATATTTTTTCTATCTTGTTCTATGGAGTAGAGAGTTGGTCTCTGACAGAAGGTCGCCTGAAGAGACTAGAAGCATTTGAAATGTAGATTTACAGGCAGCTGTTATGTATAAGCTGGGTTGACAAGATCAGAAATGAGGAGGTGATAAGCTGCCTGGGAAAGCCAAGGGAAATAATCAAAACAATTAAAAAACAAAAATTAGAATATTTCGGACATGTGATGCGACACCCAGAAAAATACGGCACACTCCATTTAATCCTCCAGGGAAAGATTGAAGGCAAACGAGGTCCAGGCAGAAGAAGAACATTGTGGCTTCAAAATCTAAGGGATTGGTTTGGACAAAACTCAGCAGCACTTTTTCGTGCGGCTGCTGATAAAAACAGGATCGCCAACATGATCACCAACGTCCGATAATGGATATGGCACAAGAAGAAGTGTTTCTTCCACATTTTTTCCCTTAGAAACTTGCCCATTCAGTGGCTGTTTTGAAACCTATAAACGTTGCCTTTTGAATGAAAATAGCATGTGCGGGTGAATAACACAGAATATAACTAAATCAGGCAAAATTCATGTTTCCCTCTTTTAATTGCTTCTCATTCAGGGCCTTGGGATAAGCACAGATAAAATACTACCTAAATACAATCACAATTGAGCCCAAAGTGTCTGTTACTAAGCAAAACAGTTTTTAAGTGAGTTTTGCCCCATCTTAAGACCTTTCTTACCACAGTTAAGTCAATCACTGCAGTTGTTAATAGCATGGATGTTAAGTGAATCTGGCTTCCCCGTTGACTTTGCTTTGTCAGATCATCAAAGGTGATTATGTGACCTCTGGACACTGCAACTGTCATATATATGAATCAGTTGACAAGTGGCCAGATTTTGGTCACCTGACGCTGGGGATGCTGCAATGGTTGTAAGTGTGAAAAATGGTCATGTCACTTTTTTCAGTGCCATTGTAACTTTGAAATGAACTGTTGTTAAGTCAAGGACTATCTGTAATACAATTTGTTCTTCATGTCCGCTTTAAGATCTGCATAGTTTAAGACTCGGCTTACCACAACATCAATAATTTCAGGTCTGACGTCCTGTCTACTCTGTCTTCAGCCCCTGCTAGGTGGGTTAATATTTTGTAGCCTGGTTTATCTGTTCTACACTGTGACTATTAATATCCCAACAATCAAAAGGTTATTTCCCTGGCAATCTCTGTCTACTTGTGATTTTCCATCTTTCTTTAGCCTCCCCATTTTTTAAATTTGTTTTCTCTGCGTTACTTCCTTTTATCCCATAATCTCCTTTCACTTCAAACTTTATGCTGTAGTCTTTTACTCCGATTCTTCACATTGGAAACCCATTATTCAGCCACAATCATTTTTTTATCAACTGTCCTGTCCCTACCGGATGTTTTTACCCTTGGTTTTCTTTCATTACAGGTAGTCCTCAACTTCTTACAACCACAGTTGAGTCCAAAATTTATGTTGCTAAGTGAGAAATTTGTTAAGTGAGTTTTGCCCCATTTTACAACTTTTCTTGCCACATTTGTTAAGTGGATCACTGCAGTTGTTAAATCAGTACCACAGCTGTTAAGTGGATCTGGTTTCCCCATTCACTTTGCTTGTCAGAAGGTTGCAAAAGGGGATCACATGATTCCAGGCCAAGGCAACCATCATAAATGTGAGTCAGTTGTCAAGCATCCAGATGTAAACCGTGGGGTATGCTGCAAAGGTCGTCAGTGAAAAATGGTCATAAGTCCCTTTTTTCAGTGCTGTTGTAAATTAAAACAGTCACTAAGTGAACTATTGTAAATCGAGGACTGCCTGTACTTCCTATCTACCACATTTTCTTTTTGCCTCCAAATCTCACCGTGCATTCACCTGCTTATTTTTTTGCCCTCCCTTTCGATTTCCCTTCCACCGAAAGTAATTTCCAGGAAGCCTCCATTCTCTTCCCCCCCCCCCCCCACCTCTGCCCTGTCTTCGCGACGGCAGCGACGCTACTCCTTTAAGTCCTTGTAACAACCTCCTAGGCGTGGCTTCGGGGTCTGCGTGGTCCAGGCGGTGGCGGTGGAGGGAGGGGGTCGGACAGGGAGTCCTTAGACTTCGGCTCCCGAGAGGTAAGTGCGAGCGGGCTTCCCCACACTTCGCCAAGAGATCGGGGTCCTCCATTCCTTTAAAGGCCAAAAGAATCTTGCTGGTCTGTTTTGTTTTGTTTTTTTCAATGCACAAAATCCTTTATTCATTCCTAGCTCCTTCCTGCATCCCCGATTTCTCCCGGGACTGAGCCCTGAGTGCTCCACTGCAAATCGTGCGACGTTGATTTCCCTCTTCATAGTCATTAATGTGCCCTCCCCCCCCCCGGGCAACTTAGAGGCACAAATTTGGTTTCTTCAAAATCTTGAGATTTTCTCCCATCCCCCGTTCCTGTTTGCCTGCAGCCCCTTAAAGGAAAGGAACTTTGTTGCCTGTTCTTTCCTTTGCACGTCACCCTGTCCAAATAAGGGACCCGGTGTAGAAAACGGGGATTGGGGGGGGGGGGGCATCGTTTCTTTTAGCCCATCGTCTTAAACTTAAGAGTTGCTTTTCATGATTTAGCATTCTTCTTTCCTTGCTGTGCCCAGGAACCTTATAGACTACTCTCCGGTCTAACTCCCAGATGAACCCCTTTTGGAAAGATCCAGGACATAAATCTGTTGCAGCCTCCCCCATTCCAGGCGATTTCCACCATCTTACCCTGTTCCTTCCTTCAGCTGTTGCTGCTACTCCAGACTAAAAAGACAAGCATCTCAAAGATCATGTTGGAAGAGCCAGAGAGGGGGGGGGGACAATTGATTTACAATGGTTTTTTAGAACCAGGTAGGCCGGCAACTGGGTGAGGTTGCAAGATAGACACGTGACATATTTAGTGGGGAGGTTTAGATAAAACTAGGATCTAAGATGCAGAAGAGTTCTGAAGTGCCACCTGCTGCAACTGGTCCTGAGCAGATATTGGCCTGTCTTTTGACCACATCTTCCTTTCTCTTTCTCCAGGTTAGGCCCTGACACCCCCTCCCCACCCCCAAGTCCTCTTGCCCTTGCTTTCGTCCTCTTGAGACTATGCCGCTGACCCGCAGCCTGTCTGTGACCTCCCTCTCTGGGTTGGAGGATTGGGAAGATGAACTTGACCTTGATAATGCCATTCTTTTCGAAGTGGCTTGGGAAGTGGCCAATAAAGGTACGTAGTGACTATTTTTAAAGAAGATCTTAGGGAAATGATCGGGTTTCCAAAGTTGGAGCAGGAGAGAGTTTGGGAATTGGAAGGCCTGGATTTCTTGTGGGAAGGTGGCTGGAAACAGATTCTGCAGAACTATTTGCAAGCCAAAGGATGAGCAGTATTGAAAGAACTGAGGCCAGAATTCAAGTATCACCTGGGAATGGAGTCTGTAGAAACGAAGACTTATCTGATTGCTGGTCAAAGACTCTTTTGGTTGAGCAGGTAGAGAAGGATCAGGCCTAATCAACCATTATATGGGCAACTCATTGAATTGTGAAAGGGCATGACATGGAGACAGGTTGTCTGTCTTTAAAAATGATTGACTGGCATGTTGAATGTTAAAGCAAAATGTGTTTATATTAAAAAAAAATCCTCATGTGGGGGGAAAGGAAGTTCTTGTAAGGTTGCAGTTTCTTCCAAGCAACATTGCTCAGCACTTTAGGAAAACTCTTAGACCTTTCCTCCCTCCCTTTGCAGTTCTCGGATCCTCCCATCCATAAATCTTTCATATGTGGGTTAGTGCTGTCTGAGATGACACTACCCTTTTATAGTGAACATTTCCAGGGAAGTCCAATTCAGCAAGCTGCTGTCACTGTGTGTTCATTGAGAAGATCCTCTTCTGGAAAACAGCTACTACACATCTGGAGGTTTAAGGCACCGAGATCCCAAGGATAGTGTTTCAGGCTGTCTTTCCCTGTAATAATGTGACTGTGTGGAAAAACAACTAAAACAGCACTACATTCTTAACAAAAGGATAGGGATTCCCAGTAAATCTGAATATGTCAGCGTTACTATAAAACTGTTCTCATGTGCTTGCTTTAGGAATAACCGCTTTTAAAGCTAATTAAAGATCTTTTGGGCTGGGTTGAATTTTGAGCATCTGCTGTGTATATTCTTGATATGTACTTAGTACAATATATGCACATGAAATACATACAAGCTCTCTCCTCCACTGCATAAGAAACTTTTGAAATGCTACTCATTCCTTCAGAAGCTGCATCTCTGTTTAGATCTACCTTCAGGTCAGGGTAACTGCTTACCACAGCACATGACCACTGAACAGGATCTTCCCCAATGTGATTTTTTAATGCATTATTTTTTTTCTATCAAGTACTAGAATAGATTATCACCAATATGCAGGATGTAGAAAACCTGGGGTCCTCTTTAGATAGCTTCCAATTCTCTCAGTGCCAGCAAAAAGGGGGCTTTGCGTGCATGCCTTTGAGTAACTCTTGATTCCTGGTGATTACCTGCATAAGTCCTTGCAGTTCACTTGGCAATATTTTTGAAAGTGATGTACTATCGTCTTTGTCACACAGCTGAGAGAATGACTGGCCTGTGTCAGCTAGCTTCAGGCCTAAGGCAGAATTAGAACTCATGGTCTACAACAAACCTACAGAATTATTGGTGCGCACAAAGATCCTGGTGGATAATCATTGTAAATTAGAATCTGTTTAATGCAGCAAATCCTGCTGAATGCAGGATTCCATGCCAATACAAATAGAATTTGTAATTTTGCAAAAAAGAATTGGCTTTTAAGCCTTTTTGTGAATCTACATACATATATGTAAATATACATCTAAATGATATCATTAATAGAGTTTTAAATGCCACATTTCACTTTAAATATTTTATCACTGAATTTACCAGGAATGACCGTATCAGAAAATTAGTCTAGTCAACCACTTGTATCTTTAAAGAATTGTTGCAATGTGAAATAGCAATAGTACTACTGCTGGTCAAGATGTTCGTCCCTTTATTTCATACATTCCTTCTGTTCTTCATCTGTCTTCCCCACAGACTATTAGTATAATGATTTTGTGAACTTTCCCCACAAAGTGATTTTTTTTCCTATGATTTTTTTTAAAATCTGCATAGGACCTTTCCCTGAATCGACTACAGGTATTGCCTTTTTCTTGTCAATGGGTGGTACCATTTTGGTACTAAAAATGATGGTCTTAGAATACAAGATGATACTTGGGGCCATCTCTACCTCTGAATAGGGTACCTGCCTCAGTTGTGGGTTGTTCCCTCAGATAAGACTACCTGCATGTTTTGTGGCCTATCTATGTCCTTTGCCCTGTGATAATTTGCAGGACTCTCATCGCTTCTGTTCAAGTAAGCAAGCAAGAATAAAGAGTCATGGGGTTTTTTTTTGCTTCAGGCAAGTACATTTCTGGAGAAGCTTTGGATCTTCTGAACAGGTTGCAGATACATCAGTATAGAGTACATTCATTGTGGAATGCAGGATACAAAATCTTGGGTGTGTGATGCAGGCACTCAGAGGAGAAATGGGACAGAGTTCAACTTATTGTTCATTTTTCCCCCTCTGGATCTTTAATTGACAACTGACTGCAGCTCCAAGATGAGACTTGGCCTAGAGCTAGAGAGAGAGAAGCAATGCCCTGTGGTGTTGATATGAGAGGCCGGCATTTGCCTAGTTCTAAAATGCCTTAGAAAAGCATGCAATTGTAATTGATGTGTGATAGGAAGGCCAGGTTCTGATGTTTGGAGGCAGCAGCTCAAGAAAGGTCTCTAAAAAAGAATTTAATCTGGTCTTATAAATGAAGGTGAATATATGTGTCCCAGGATAATGTTGCAGGATCCAATTGGGGTCGGTCACCAGGACCACCGTTTTGTCTTCCAAGCTTTCAGACTCGTACTGGAGCCCATCTTCAGGGAACTTCTCTCTAGCGGAGTGTGTGTTAGTTAATCTGCTCTTTTTCATTGTGCTATTAGAGTGTTTGACATCTTATGAACTTTGAGAGGGCAGGTTCCTGCCTTGTGTTGCTTACAACATAAAATCTAGTATACTGAACCAACAGAGGAAGGGGAGAGTAGTGAGGCAATCAGGAAGCAAGATAAGTTTGTTTCTAAACCACGTGCTCATTTTTTGTTACAGGGTGAGTAATAGAAGAGTAACAATGGTTGACTCCTTGCTAATTGGGAGCCTTGCTTAATTTTTTTTAAGAAAAGAGTTTGTGGTTATAGTGGGTAGGGGGACGATGTGCTATTAGGGAGACTTTCCATGATTTGAGTTAGTTCAAGATAGTCTTGGATGTTTTTCCTCAGGAGAGTTGCATTTTTCTCCTTTTTTTGCTATATTAAATCTTATTTTAGATTTAATAGCAGGATATTTCTTCTCAATGATACATTTGGGAGAGGTTTATAGGGGTCCAGAAAAGGATTTCAGAAGCTATAGACTGCCATTCCTTCAGCAAGGTATCTACGTTAAAGGATTGTGCCAAGAACTTTGTGGAAAAGATTTCCATTTCACTTCCTTGCTTCTGAGAGCAAATCTGAAATGCAAAATGCCTATAAGAGTGCCCTGTTCACTTTCTAGCTCTTCTGCTATGATAACGAAATGATCTCACAAAGAAAATCAATTTAACCCATAAAAGAAGTCTTCTCCAGCCTAAGTATCCTCCAGAAGTACGGACTTCAACTCCTAAAATTTCCCAGATAGCATGGTGACTGTTAAATTTTGGAAGAAGTGGACACATATATAGGGCACCCAAGCTGGAAAGGTTGCTTTGATGACTATTTGGATAAATCCTTCTGAATGCACACAGTTCCTCAGCAATAAGACATTACTGTTTCTCATGACTCTAAACCTCCACCTCTAGACACAGTCCAAGCTCTGTTTGGTTTCATTGAAAAGCTTCAAGATCTTATATTCTACAGTGCCATTTCCCATTCATTCTTCCCTCATAGAATATTCATGTGGGTGTTTTTATTGCTTTTCCGGTACAACTCCCTGTTTGGAAGAGGAAGCAAGGCTCCTCAAGAGGGGAGGAGAATGTAGTTGAAGGAGCCAGGGTCCTTGAGTGTAAAGTAAATACAGTGGTTTGTAAGTGCTGGCTGGGTTTGCCTGCTTCCCAGGAAGGGAGTTGGAGTCCAGCCACTTAGAGGAGATTGAATATATGAAGAAACGTCTTTCGGCTTAGTTGTATAGCATAAGACAGAGGTCCCCAACCTTTTGGGCACCAGGGACCGGTTATGTGGAGAGAGGTTTTTCCATGGGCCGGAGAGGGTGGTGGTGGTTTTGTGTGCCGCCTGCTTCTTGCTGATGGAGCTTGGCTTGTTTGTGTGGACCGGTTGCTGGCATGCCACGGACCGGGACCGGTTCACGGACCGGGGATTGGGGACCCCTGGCATAACACACACAGACACACACCGAGAGAAAGAGAGAGGGAGAGGGGACTAAGAACTGTTGCAGCAATCTTCTGTGCTGGATATGACTGATAACAGTCTGCCTGCTTCCATAATCCAGCTGCTTTTATGTGGGGTGCAGGTATAACAAAACTATGGTTTTGTTTAGGTCACTGGGGGTGCTTGTACCCCTAGGGGGTGCAAGATGATATTCCAGGGGGTGCAAAAACTTGGGTTTTCAAAGTTATAGTGTATATGCATAATTTGTTGCTGTTATTTCGAACATTTATATCAGAAGCGTTCTAGGGGTACGGTGTATAGAAAAGGTTGGCAACCTCTGGTTTAGGTGAATGGAACATAAAGAGTTTTGGGTTGATCATAACACTGAATTTTTGCTTTCTGGTGAAGTATTGGTCATTTTAGCTGGATCTGTCAAGTGTCTCAAAAATACAATGTTAAAATAACAGGATAAAACAATTGCACACGAAGCAGCGTCTAAAATGGGAGATCTAGACAAAAGAGAGAAAGCATTGTAAAGGCTTGAATGAATAACCATGATCTTTATCTGGACCAAAAAGATCATAAAGATAATATTAGGTGAACTTCTCTGGGAAATCTATTCCATAATCAGAGTATCATAAGCCAGGGGTGCCCAACCCCCAGTCCGTGGACCAGTACCAGGCCGCGGCATGCCTGCAATCAGTCCGCACAAACAAGCAAAGCCCCATCCGTGAGTTGCAGGCAGCACACAAAACCATGCACCCTCTGGCCCATGGAAAAACCTTTCTCCACAGAACCGGTTGGGGATCTCTATCATAAGCCACCAAAAGGCCAAATCAATCTCCTTGATACTCTCTACCACTTTGCTCATTTGGGAGGGTCGAAATGGAAGGCCAAAGAAGACCATAAGATTTGGATAGGGGGAATGCAGCCTTCAAGACTTTTAAGGTTCAAATCAGTCCTTTAAAAGGAATCTGGAAAGAGACTTATCAGCAGAGATTTTGATAAAGATCCCTCAGTGCAATGGGTTAAAAATGATGTACACACACAAAGGCTCACCAATAACTCTGCAACAGTGTACAAATTGCATGCAATTTCAAAATAGTTTTAGAAGTTTTCTACATTTGCCTAATTTCAATATTGAAACAACCATTGGGGCCAATAGCCAATAACAGGCCAATTTTCCATGCATTATTCAAAGTTACTTTTAAAGACATATTTAGATTGTGAAGACCGATGTCATTCAACCTTGACCAGCTTACCTTGATCTTCACCTGATAGGTGTTGACTACACTTCCCATAATTGCACAGCAGCATGGTTAAAAACATTGTGTTAGCAAAATCTGCAGTAATTTAAAAGGGATTATATGAAAAAATATGCTACTTTGTCTGTCCTGGAGCTACAGCTGATGAATTTCACATTTAGAGTCAAGTGAGCCTAGGCTGATCAGATACTGAAATCTGTACATTCTTAGATTTATTTTAAAAGGTTTATGTTGCTTGTTACATATTCAGGATGTATTAGCATATCCATACAATGTAGAAGAATAAATTGCATTAAATAAAGCCATTAGAGCTGATTTTCCCAACTTCGGCAACTTTAAGATATATGGGCTTCAACTTCCAGAATTCAACTTCTAAAGCTGGCTGAGGAATTCTGGGAGTTGAAGTCCATACACATCTTAAAATTGCCGACCGGCCTGCAGGTTGGTAGTTTGACACCCCTGCTCTAAAGCTTCTTGACTAAGGTGGGTGCTCAGGATAATTTACAAGCATGCAAGGAGAAAACAAATATTTATTCTCTCTTCTTTTAGTTGGTGGGATCTTCACTGTTATCCAAACGAAAGCCAAGATTACACTGGATGAATGGGGCGAGAATTACTTCCTGATTGGACCTTACCTGGAATTGAATGTGCGCACACAGGTGGAGCTGATAGAACCTCCCCACCCTGCCATTCGCCGAACCATTGACTCCATGAATTCAAAAGGATGTAAAGTAAGAGACTGCAGGATGGAGGGGGGGGGAAATATGTGGGACTTGCGCCTCAGTGGGCTTAATTCTCAGAAGCAATTCTTTGCCTCTGTCGGTGAGGAATGTTTATGGATACAGCGGTACACCAAGAATATTCAATTCAGTTCATTGTAATTCTAGTTTAAAAGGAATGTCAGGTAGCTGGTGATAGGTAAAAGCTCTACTTTAGGCTAGGAAGAAAGAATTTCAAGTCAGAGGAGATTAGAGATAACTTTGTCTCTGAGGAATCTACATAGATGCATATATACATATCCAGCATGCTGTTTCATCCTGGACTAACCAACATAATGCCAAGCAAAAAGATGTAAATATTATAAGCTGGAGAAATGAAGGCATTGTAAGTAAAGTACAGGTATTGCTCGACTTACGACCACAATTGAGCCCAAAATTTATGTTGCTAAGTGAGACATTTGTTTAATGAGTTTTGCCCCATTTTACAACCTTTCTTGCCACAGTTGTTAAGTGAATCGCCACAGTTGTTAAGTTAGTGACACGGTTGTTAAGTGAATCTTGCTTTCCCATTGACTTTGCTTGTCAGAAGGTTGCAAAAAGTGATCACTCTGGGACACCGCAACCGTCATAAATGTGAGTCAGTTGCCAAGCGTGTGAATTTTTGATCACATGACCATGAGGATGCTGCAATGGTCACAAGTATGACAAACAGTCATTAACAGTGCTGTTGTAACTTTGAATGGTCACTAAATGAACTGTTATAAGTCAAGGATTACCTGTAGTTCATAATACCATCACTACATTCTTTATATTCTTACAAACTGTCCTTGCAAGTTATATGCATACATAATTTCATACATTTCCTTTTGTTCTTTAAACTTCTCACTCTTTTTGAGGATCTCATCAACTCCACCCAACCACAGCTTTCTTGGTTACTCCCAATCTACTCATTCTTCCTTCTTATCTTTGTTTGGCAATGTGACTCCTATTAATATCTTCTATATGACCAAAGTATCTCAATATATATTTTTCATAGTGGTCTCTCTCTTGTATTTGATTCATCCATTCAGCACTGATTGATTTTTGACTGTATTAAGTACTCCATTCCCATCACACTGCATTTCCTCTGATATATTCATCTTTCATTTCCATATAAAATGTAGGCAGAAATCTACATTTATACACATCCATTATATGTCTTTCAATAGACATTCTCATAATAGACTATTTACTATATTTTTTTCAGCATTTGCACATCTTAAAATTTCTCTATCCATTTCTCTATATTTAACAAACATCATGGATGCAAATTCATCTATTTTTGCCATTTCTGAATAATTTACAATTGTTCATTTTTGTTGTCAGATGCAAGTACTTTGTTTTCTGATAGAGTGTTTAGATCCATACTTCTTATTGCACCATATGCTCTGTCTAATATTTGTTGGAAATCATTTGTGCACACAAAAGTACACCTATTCATGTCCCCAAATTACACAACTGTAATAACATTTCAAGCATTATCCATGAATGCATTAAGCAATCAAAGGGATGTCACTCATTCTTGTCTTACTTCCTGTTTAATGTTGAACCATTTGTTAAGAATTCTGTTAAAGAATTACAGTTGGGCAATCAACTTTCCTATTTTATAATTTCATTTTTTTACTATTTGCTACAGTTATGTTCCAAGTTACAGTGTTTCAAATAATTGATCACCATTGGATGAACCCATGTGTATTGCTCTCTATCATCCAGGAGGTTTTGATCAATCCAGGTTTTAGATACAGTAATTCTTTTTAGTAAGTTGAAGAAGGTATAGACCATATTTCCATGTGAGTCCTTGTGGACCAAAACAGGTAGTCCTCAATTTACAACCACAATTAAGCCCAACATTTTTATTATTAAGTGAGACATTTGTTAAGTGAGTTTTGCCCCATTTTATGACCTTTCTTGCCACAGTTAAGTGAATTACTGCAGAAATTAAATTAGTAATTCAGTTGTTAAATGAATTTGGCTTCCCCATTGACTTTCTGTCAGGTCACAAAAGGGGATCACATGACCCTGGGACATTGCAACCGTCATAAATATGAGTCAGCTGCCAAATGCCTGAATTTTGATCATGTGACCATGGGGATGGTGCAATGGACATAAGTGTGAACAACAATCATGTCACTTTTTTCAATGCCTTTGTTACTTCAAACGGTCATTAAAAGAACTGTTGTAAGTCGAGAACTATCTGTATCAGGTTGCCTGTATTCCACTAACCAGGAGATTCTTGCAGTGTACTCACACATAAACAAATCCTGAGATATTATAAGGTTTCCAAAAGTCAGAATCTCAGCAATCTCACTCTGAAATCTGGTGAAGTCTTCCATGAGAATGCTGAAATTGTGCAAGATTTATGCAACATTTAAAATTATTACTTTAATTCACTGTGGACACCTTTTGAGATACTACTGTACTTCCAGGAATCCACAATTAACTCTGGGCTATATGAACATTTAATAAATATCTCTGGGCTATATGAACATTTTGAAACAACTCTTCTAAGATCATTGGTTCCTTTTTAAAATTAGTTTTCCTCTTTTTTTCTTTGTATACTTTTGATGCATTAAAAAGGACAAGAAGATAAAAAGAAATGACTCTTAGTTAAATTAATTAAATGGGACCTCCATCAATGGGAGAAATTGGGCCAGATTATGAGATAGATGGAAACCTTGCTGGAAGACTGTTTAGAAGCATCAGTCTCCCTTCAGCCAGCAAATGATGTTTGATCTTTTGCAATTGGATTATTTTGCACCTGAACACCTTCAATCACTTGGAGAGAAGCTGTGGAAGTCACAATAGCCCTGCCAGCTCTTTCTGCAGGACCAGGACTGTGGAGGTTCTGCCCAGGTGACGGCATCCTACAGAGATTTTAATCCTCTTCTCCCTCAAAGTAAAAGAAACATTCTTCATCTCCAGGCCATCTCCAGTGAGATTACTCTAAAGATTTCTGCCTGTTGGTGGCCCAATCTGTTCATCTTTACATAGGAACATCAAGAGCAATTTAGGATTCCAGCGGTGTAGCGCAAGAAATAAATGTTAGTTGCCATTGAAGATCATTCTAATGCCAGGCATTTGTTTTTACTTCTCTTCTCAATTTCCAAATCTATGAGGATATGTCATGAATATGGAAATCCTCCCCCCTGAAATCCTTTCCTCTTGAAAGGCTGCAAAATGTTTTTAGGAAATTTCAGGTAGATTTAAAGCAAAAATAAGTTAAGTTGAGCTTAATGGAAATCTCACACATCTATGGTAATCTTTATTTCATTTATTTCACTTGAGAAAAGTTTGCTTTGCTGCTAGATTTTGGCAGCTTGATCTGTTAGCTATAGCAGGGCTTTTCAACCTTTTCACCTATTGTACCACTTTTAGGATATGGCAATATCTGAGTACCACCAGTCGCCTAGCAAGGTGTCAAAAATTTGATGACAAAAAAAAGAGGAAAAAAGTGATAAAGTACAGGTAGTCCTTGACTTACAACAGTTCGCTTAGTGACTGTTCGAAGTTACAGTGGCACTGAAAAAAGTGCCCCCCAAGCCACAGCCGAGCAAGACATCTGCCTGCCCACCCGGCGGCGTTCTTCCTCCTGTCCGAGGTTTTCATTGTTGTGAGCATTTCTGTTGAGGATTGGCAGTAGGGGTGGGGTGGGGGGGTTTATTCCCTTTGCCTGCTGGGTGGTTGCAGCAGGTTTTGGTTACTTCACATGACCCTGGGACACTGTGACCATCATAAATATGAATCAGTTGCCAAGAATCTGAATGTAAATCACAAGACTCTGGAGATGCTGCAACATTCCATCTGATCGGCGCTTCTTCTGGGATCAGCAGAAGCACTAGGATCAGTGCTGCTTTCCAGCTGATTGGTGCTTCTTCAGGGCTCAGCAGAAGCGCCAGGATCAGCGCCGAGCTCCAGTTGGAGCCTGGCGCTGATCCTGGCACTTCCACTGAGCCCTAACAGTCCTGAAGAAGTGCCGATCAATTGGAAAGCGGCACTGATTCTGGTGCTTCCACTGAGCCCTGACAACCCTGCAGCTCCAGCCATCTCTCGCTCAGGCTTGTGCGGTGCTGCCACTGGTTCAGCTCATTCCTCTCCCCCGCTACCACTTTTCTAGGATGGTCACGTACCACCTGCCAGGTGCCAGTGTACCACAGGTGGTACCCGTACCACTGGTTGAAAAGCCCTGAGCTATAGAATGAATTTTGGGAATGGGTGATATGCCACCAGCCCTATTTTAATCAGAGCTGGCAAGGATTGAAGCTGGGACTTTCTGTGTGCAAAGAGAATGAGGGTCCTGCCATTATGCTACAGGCTTCAAAACTGCATCATCGTGATGCAACCCACAAGTATGGGGAATATTTGCATGGGACGACATCTTCTTTCAAGATGCAGGTGTAGAAGGAGGGAGAATCTGTACTCTTCTAAAGTTGTTGAACTCCAGTTTCCATCCATGCCAGCGAGAATCACCACAAAGATAAGAATGAGGAGAGTTGTGATCCCACAACTGCTGAAGGACCCAGGGAGTCTCATGCCCGCTTTAAAGTCATTAGAACACAGATGAGCAAAAGATTTGTATTGTGGGGGTTTTTTTTGCTGCTGCATATCTGTAAGCAAATATTTTAAAATATTAAGATAATGCCGAGTTGTCTTCTCACTCTTGAGTTATTGTACAAATGCAAATAGTCATATTTGCTCACATTCCCTTCCCAGAAGAAGACAGGAAAAATGCATTGGTATGTTCTAATGCATTTGGTTTGTGGGACTTCACGTATATAGACAAGTCCCCATTAATTGATAAACTGTGGAAAACAATGACAGACCCCAGCCACTGTGACAAAACCCAAGAATGTTGGTTTATAGCTCCCAAAACTAGGATTATAAATCTGGGCACAGATCTGTATATTGTTCATCCAATTAGCCAGAAATTTTGGCTTATCTTTGTATCATGTAAGTACTGGTTCCAAATTGGATACGATATCAAATATGTTATGATCAGTTCCCTGATGAAACCACCTAAAACAGTTACAAGCAAGCAGGAAAACAATGGTGTAAAAACAAATTTAAATGTATGCTGGAACTATTGAATGTAGATATTGAGTATTTCCAGTATGGAAGGTACATAAAGCATACATTTAATATTCCCTCTTTTTTTACTTCATTTTTCTATTTCCTAACCTCATTTCAGAGCAAGAGGTTATTTTGGGTTGCCCAGCAAAAAAACAACCCCAGGGAAAGCGACCTTTTATAAAATGGAGATGAGGTAACATGAACCAGAGACTAAAATTAGAGATGTACAAACACACATGGTGTACATATCTCTGCAGACTTTGGTATGTGAAATGAGTGGAGAAGGGATGATGATCTCATGAATTAAAGCAGGTCTGAGAGATGAAAGAGAAAAAGAGTACTGGATTAAAATGGAGTCATGATTTACAAGGTCCACTGGAAAGTAAAAAGCATTTGGAGAATTTGAGAGTTAAAAATAAGTTACCGAGATATTCTCCTCAGATTTGGAGGTCTGCAAAATCTGAAGTGCAGAAGTCATGATCTAAGCTTCCTTGCATGTACAGATTTCACATTAAATGTATACACAAATAGTTTTAAGAAGCTTACTTTTTCGTAATTCCATTGATAAATCTAATGGGTATAAAGTTGAAGTATTTCAGCTTGAAGTATTTCAGCTTCTGCAGAAAAATATGTATTATATTTCTAGCACACAAAACAAAAGACAAAGTTTGAACATGTAAATAGGCAGAGCTGAAAATTCAGATGATTTAAAGTAGAAGTATATGTGGAACTTCCTTATATAAGATCCCCTTCTTTTATATTCTTCACTCTTGATGGTTATCTTTTTTTTTTTTTGCTATATGCAGTGTGCTGATTCAGCATTCCTTTTTTCCCCTGAAATTGTAAAATGCATGTTCCTTCAAGAATCTGAGAGACAAAATGCTTGTTCATCATTTTAGAACATAGCCTTTTTCGCCTTTTTCGCCGAGCCCTGAAGGCCCATCTATTCCGTGCGGCTGGTCTGGCGTAGTTTGATTATGTTTTAGTGGGGGGTTTTGTATGGGTGTGTTTTTGGAACAGGCCCGTTATTTAATTTGATTTTAGAACTGCCTATATTTATCATTGTTTTTATTATCGCCTGTTCACCGCCCTGAGTCCCGTAAGGGAGATAGGGCGGTATATAAATTCAATAAATAAATAAAATAAATAAATAACCTCATGAGTAAGGATATTATTAAGTTGATGATAAAACTTGCTTAATTGAGCACTGACCTTTATGATTGATGCTTTGTTGATTGTGCTTTACAGAATATCTCTGGATTAGATACAAAAATGTCAATTTATACCTCTCCTATTCATTAATCTGCTGTCTGTCTAGGTTTACTTTGGCCGCTGGCTGATTGAGGGGGGTCCATATGTGATCCTCATTGATATTGGGGCAACCGCTTGGAGCCTGGATCGCTGGAAGACTGAATTGTGGGAAAGCTGCTCCATTGGGATTCCCTGGTATGACCGAGAGGCCAATGACGCCGTCCTCTTTGGCTTCCTCACAGCCTGGTTCCTAGGGGAGGTAAGGCAACATGTTTCTATCAGAAAACGTCCTCCTTTCCTCTCTCCCAATATCTTTCTCTTCACTCTCTTCTTCTGTTTTTTTTGTACAGTTTGCTGCACAGTGTGAAGAAAAGCCATTCATCATTGGTCATTTCCATGAGTGGCTATCTGGTGTTGGCCTCTTCCTCTGTCGGATCCGGAAACTTCCAATAGCTACCATCTTCACCACCCATGCTACCCTGCTTGGCCGCTACCTGTGTGCAGGAAGTGTGGACTTCTACAACAATCTGCAGACTGTGAGTCTTTTAACCATTAGGATTGAAAATCGATTGGTGGGTGGAGAATTCCTGGAAGTGTGGCACTCAGACAAATCAGCCATCACCAGGCACAGAGATATAAACAACATCTACATGCCATTCAAAAAAGACAATCAAAAAGCTAAAATGGAAACAAAATGACCCAAATACCTCTTTGCCTGCCATCAATACTCAGATAAGCAGAAATTAACATCAAGATTAATACTAGATCAACCATCAAGCAGTAAGCAATACTCTGCTCAAGAAACTACCAACTCAGACAAACAATCAAACAGTAAACAACAGCCTAATCGATTAACCACCAAGACCACTCCCACCAATACTGTCAGAGCAACTCACTTGTATAGAAACAGAGCAAACCCAACTTCCTGTTGCACTGATAACGCTACCTAGTATGGGTAACAATACTATGACCGTTTTTCACAGTTATGACCTTTGCAGCATCTCCATGATTATGTGATCAAAATTCAGATGCTTGGCAACTGGTTCATGTTTATGACTGTTGTAGTGTCCCTGGGTCATGTGATCACCTCTTGCGACCTGACAAGCAAAATCAATGGGGAAGCCACATTCACTTAACCAGGGCTTTTCAACCAGTGGTACGGGTACCACCTGTGGTACATTGGCACCTGGCAGGTGGTACGTGACCATCCTAGAAAAGTGGTACCGGGGGAGGGGAATGAGCTGAACCAGTGGCAGCACCACACAAGCCTGAGCGAGAGATGGCTGGAGCTGCAGGGTTGTCAGGGCTCAGCGGAAGCGCCAGGATCAGTGCCGCTTTCCAACTGATCGCCGCTTCTTCAGGACTGTTAGGGCTCAGTGGAAGTGCCAGGATCAGCTCCAGGCTCCAGCTGGAGCTCGGCGCTGATCCTGGTGCTTCTGCTAAACCCTGAAGAAGCACCAATCAGCTGGAAAGCAGCACTGATCCTAGTGCTTCTGCTGATCCCAGAAGAAGCACCAATCAGCTGGAATGTTGCAGCATCTCCAGGGTCTTGTGATTTACATTTAGATTCTTGGCAACTCATTCATATTTATGATGGTCACAGTATCCCAGGGTCATGTGACGTAACCAAAACCTGCTGCAACCACCCAGCAGGCAAAGGGAATAAAAACCAAACACCCCCCCCCACCCCACCCCTACTGCCAATCCTCAACAGAAATGCTCACAACAATGAAAACCTCGGACAGGGGGAAGAGCGCCGCTGGGTGGGCAGGCAGATGTCTTGCTCGGCTGTGGCTTGGGGGGCACTTTTTTCAGTGCCATTGTAACTTTGAACAGTCACTAAGCGAACTGTTGTAAGTCGAGGACTACCTGTACTTTATCACTTTTTTCCTTTTTTGGGGGGGGGGTCATCAAATCTTTGACACCTTGCTAGGCAACTGGTGGTATTCGGATGTTGCCATATCCTAAAAGTGGTACAATAGGTGAAAAGGTTGAAAAGCCCTGCATTTAACAACCGTGTTACTAACTTATCAACTGCAGTGAATCACTTAATGACTGAGGCAAGAAAGGTTGTAAAATGGGGCAAAACCCACTTAACAAATGTCTCACTTATGTTTGGGCTCAATTATGTCATAAGTCGAGGGCTCTCTGTAGTTGGAACTGGATTAACAAGAGAAAATGCTAAAAAAGCTATCCTCAGTTTTTCTAACTCTCAGTCTAGGCCAGGGCTTTTCAACCTTTTCACCTATTGTACCACTTTTAGGATATGGCAATATCTGAGTACCACCAGTCACCTAGCAAGGTGTCAAAAATTTGATGACCAAAAAAAAAAAAAAAAAGGAAAAAAGTGATAAAGTACAGGTAGTCCTTGACTTACAACAGTTCGCTTAGTGACTGTTCGAAGTTACAGTGGCACTGAAAAAAGTGCCCCCCAAGCCACAGCCGAGCAAGACATCTGCCTGCCCACCCGGCGGCGTTCTTCCTCCTGTCCGAGGTTTTCATTGTTGTGAGCATTTCTGTTGAGGATTGGCAGTGGGGGTGGGGGGGGGTTATTCCCTTTGCCTGCTGGGTGGTTGCAGCAGGTTTTGGTTACTTCACATGACCCTGGGACACTGTGACCATCATAAATATGAATCAGTTGCCAAGAATCTGAATGTAAATCACAAGACCCTGGAGATGCTGCAACATTCCATCTGATCGACGCTTCTTCTGCGATCAGCAGAAGCACTAGGATTGCTTTCCAGCTGATTGGTGCTTCTTCAGGGCTCAGCAGAAGCGCCAGGATCAGCGCCGAGCACTGATCCTGGCACTTCCACTGAGCCCTAACAGTCCTGAAGAAGTGCCGATCAATTGGAAAGTGGCACTGATTCTGGTGTTTCCACTGAGCCCTGACAACCCTGCAGCTCCAGCCATCTCTCACTCAGGCTTGTGCGGTGCTGCCACTGGTTCAGCTCATTCCCCTCCCCCGCTACCACTTTTCTAGGATGGTCACGTACCACCTGCCAGGTGCCAATGTACCACAGGTGGTACCCGTACCACTGGTTGAAAAGCCCTGGTCTAGGCACCCATTTGTTAGCACTCATGAGAGGATTACAGAAGAATTTCACAAAGAAAAATTGTAGAATTATTAAGTTCTTAGAATCTTGGAAATTAGATTATTGAATTGCATTCTCCTTTGTTCAACCGTCAAGATACTACTGGTAGCCCTTGACTTAAAACAGTTCATTTAGGGACCGTTCAAAGTTACAGTGTCACTGAAAAAAGTGATTTAGGACCATTTTTCATACTTAACCACCATTGCAGCATCCCCATGGTGATTATGTGATCAAAATATGGATGCTGGGCAACTGGTTCATATTTACGACGGCTGCAGTGTCCCAGGGTCACGCAATCTGCTTTTGCAACCTTCTGACAAGCAAAGTCAATGGGGAAGCCAGATTCACTTAACAACCGGGTTGCAAACCTATCAATTGCAGTGATTCATTAAACAACTGTGGCAGTAAATGTTGTAAAATGGGACAAAACTCACTTAACAAATGTCTCACTTAACAACAGAAATGTTGGGCTCAATTGTGGTCATAAGTCGAGGACTGCCTGTATTCTTTCCTGCTTTTACTCCATGCAATTCTGTGTGTTTCAGGATGTTTAATATACTTTGTCTTCCCCCAGTTTAATGTGGATAAGGAAGCTGGAGACCGCCAAATTTACCATCGTTATTGTATGGAGAGAGCTGCTATCCACTGCACACATGTTTTTACTACAGTTTCTCAAATCACAGCAGTAGAAGCTGAACATCTGTTAAAACGGAAACCTGGTGAGTTGCCTTAAAAGCTAAACAATTGTTCTGTGTGGCAAGATCCTATCCAGTTTAAGCTTTCTTTGATTTATGTACAGAATAATATTACAAGGAAATCGATTGCTTTGCGTAGAATGCAGAATCTCAGGTCTGGTAGCTTTTAATGAAATTTTCTAGTCTTTAAACAATACTAATTAGACTGCTGGTATAAATTGTACGTTGAAGCTTGATGTTTAATCTCTTTTTAGATAGAAAGAATTCCTGATATAAAATAACCATTTTACAATTCATTTTAAAAATTCTTAAAAATATTTTTAATCTTAATATGTACTGTGAATTTTTGATTGTAGCCAATGATTTTTTTTAAGGACCAGCCTGCTTATTCTTTTTCAGAATAAAGAAAGGAATGTAGGAGGAGGAGAATGTCTATTCTTATTTGCAGCTAAGACTAGTAGTTCTGATTGGCTGGCTCCTTGTGATGTCACAAGACCACTCCCCTTCCTTCTCCTTGGGGTCTGTTTTACCCCATCCATTCCTATACGCTGAATCAGTTGCTCTCAAATGCATTCATCAATTATATTTTCAAGGATGTTTGAGGAAGCTGAATACATTTGGGAAAACACCTGCTGTGACTCACACATGTGCTTTTCTGCACATATATCATTGCAGCTTGAGTAAGTTCAGAAACTTAAAGTGCTAAAACTCCCCACTTTTTACAAAACCCATCTCCATGTGCATTCCATATCCAGATATTGTGACTCCCAATGGTTTGAATGTCAAGAAGTTCTCTGCTATGCATGAATTCCAAAACCTCCATGCCCAGAGCAAAGCTCGTATCCAGGAATTTGTCCGAGGCCATTTTTACGGGTGAGTTATCATTAGCTTCACTAGTATCATATCAATTATAACAACTTGCCCTAAGAAGCTGAGTTTCTAGGGAACAAACTGAAGCTAGTAGTGACAAGTGATGTAAGAATATTCATGAATTAAAAACAAATGACTATTTGTGCTCCATTCATCTTCCACAATGTTGTTGTCATAACACACCTTCAAGTGTAAAGTGAAGACTTAATGTTCTTCCTTTTAAAAGAGTGCATGTGACTGTAGAAGAGGCAGAGACGGGGGGTGGAGTCAAGAGAGGAATTCATCTGGAGTCGTTATGTTGCCACAAATGATTCACCTCCAGCCCCCCTTGAATTATGTTGACTCTTATCTAGTGCCAATTTAGTGCTGACTGTTAGTTGACTAGATTCTTGTGTATAGGCTTGAGCAATAAATTTTAACTGGAATTTAACATGTGGTCCTGATTCTTCTCACCTGAAAGTGACTCAGTTTGGGTCTCCACTTTTTAGACAAAATAAATTTTCTTTCTGTATGGAGAGCAAGAGATGCCACTTTGACAGCATACAAAAAGGGAAAATTGGACGAGGGAGGAGCTCTCACAGGAAAGGCAGGATATAAATTAATGAGAAGAGTAGGAAAAATGAGCAGTTTTTGCTCAAGGCTAGCAGAATCAAAGAATGAGGTATAGAAAAAAATTTCCTAGATACTCATATGAGAGAAAAATCATTCGTTATTCATAAAGAATAGGTTTATAAATGACTAAATGAAGAACTACTGCTTCCTTATTCAGGTTACAGGCATCTGTACATTAATGAAAATCAGACTGCACTAGAAATACTGGTAGTCCTTGATTTATGACCATAATTGAGACCAACATTTCTCTTGCTAAAGTGAGACAGTAACTAAGTGAGTTTTGCCCCATTTTACAACTTTTCTTGCCACATCTGTTAAGTGAATCGTTGCAGTTGTTAAGTTAGTAACATGGTGATTAAGTGAATCTGGCTTCCCCATTGACTTTGCTTGCCAGAAGGTCGCAAAAGATGACACTGGGACTCTGCAACCGTCATAAATATGAACCAATTGCCAAGTGCCCGAATTTTGATGACGTGACCACGGGGATTCTGCAACGGTCATGAACCACTTTCAGTGCCATTGTAATTTTGAACTGTCACTGAACGAGCTGTTGTAAGCCGAGGACTACCTGTATATACTTCTATTTGGCTTCCCCCATCTGTCAGGGCTCTGACATTTTTCCTGTTCTTGCTTCTTATTTTCTTGTCCACTCTCCTTTCTGTTTTTATTGCACTGAAAAACGCCTACACATGGAGCTCTATCTCTTTTTTGTTTTGTTTTTCCACTTTGCATTCATAGTTTGCATGTCTAAAGCTTAATAAATAATACCATTGTGACTGGAATCCGGGAAACTATTAAGATTTTTTTTTTAAAAAAAAGGATTTCTGCCAGCTGTACATTCTGCATGTGTGTGTGTGAGCTATTTTAAAATACACACACACACACACACACTTCATTTTAAAACATTTTGCTGCACGTTGCTAGGGAAGACTCACAACTATTTAAGTATGCACATTGATCCCATCCATAAAAAAAGTTTTTCCCAGCAGTTTATTGGGAAGAGTGTGTGATATTACCAGAAAAGTATAAACATTGAAGGATGATTGTATTCTGGTTTATACAGATTTGGAAAGTGCAAATTTTATTCTTTCACTTAAATACTACACCAGACTTATTTTGATTTCTTCTCTCTAGGGCATAAAAATAATTTCTGTTGAACACAGTGGCACTTGCTTCTTCATATTGGGTCGGATGATGTTCCTCACCCCCCCCCACCCCCATGGATCCCCTCAACTATTTTTGCAATGTTGTAGTTGTTGATATCAGCATCATTGATATTTCTAATCTATTAGTGCGTCTTTTTATTTATCTAGCCAATTTACTTGTTTTGGCTTTTAAATTACATAAGATTTCTGGTTTTTCAAGCTCGGACTTAGAGCTTGAAAAACCATCACTACGTGTTATTTTTCTAGGCACCTGGACTTCAACCTGGACAAAACTATTTTCTTCTTCATCGCTGGACGCTATGAATACTCCAACAAAGGAGCTGACGTTTTCTTGGAAGCCCTAGCCAGGCTCAACTACCTGCTGAGGGTGATTAGTAAAATGGGGGCTGTAATGGAACGAGATGTGAAAGATGGTGGGCAGGCAATTAGATGTGCTGTGGAGGGTATGGCCCACAGCAGTGGCCCCCAACATTTTGGTCACCAGAGACCGGTTATGTGGAGAGAGGTTTTTCCATGAACCAGAGGGAGCGTGGTTTCGCATGCTGCCTGCATCCCATGGATGGGGCTTTGCTTGTTGTGCGGCTTGGTTTCTGGCATGCCGTGGCCCGGTGCTGGTCCATGGACCAGGGGTTGGGGACCCATGGCCTACAGCAACGGAACAACCATGTGTTTCGAGTTAAGGAGCTGTAGTCCAAGGAATCTGGAGATTGTTTTGGGATTTCTCCTCATGCTTACATTGTTGTAGAGAGGAAATACAATGGGTAGAATGACTACACAGGATACATTTGGATGAAAGCAGGAAGAATATATTGGAACTATTTTAAGCTGGCAGGAGTGGTAATTGAACCATATCCCAAGAATACTCCATGAAAAGATACTTACAATAGATGACCCCCTGTCTGGCCATCATCTCCTAATCTGTCCAGCTGAGATGTTTTAGCCATAAGGAGTTCTCTCTTCAACCCAATCCTAGGGAAAATAGAAAGGAAAAGAGAACGTATTGCATTTCAGATACATATTAGGTGTAGATGTTCACACCAGCCTTACTGTCACGAATCCTTTCCTGGGATTAGATGATAGTTTCATGATTCTTGGAGATCCATGTAGCTCCTACAAGAACATCCCAGGAACATTCCTGATTTATCCATCTATTCATCCAGTTTTCCTCATCTTTGCCAAACATAGTCAGATTTCTAGGCTATTGTTCATTTATCTGCCTGGAACATGTGAGTTTCTGCTTTTTAATAAGCACCTCAGGAGTCCTCATGCTGTAAGACTAATACAAATGACTCATGAGGAACCAGCCACATATTAGAAGGGGGGGAAGATGAATTCTAAAAACAAACTATGAATTCAATTAATTAAACTCTTTTAACATGGGTCAGCTTATCAACTGTTTCAGGGAGCAGTTTTGATCATACTTAAAAGTACTGTAGTGATCTTTCATACCCATTTTTGTGGCTTCTCTCTCTATAGGTGAATGGAAGCCAGATTACAGTAGTAGCATTTTTTATCATGCCAGCTAGGACAAATAATTTCAACGTGGAGACACTAAAAGGCCAAGCCGTCCGCAAACAGCTCTGGTAAGTTTGTGTCAGGTTCTGGATCTCATAAATCTGTCCTTGTAACAGGCTTCCTTAGGCATCAGGCTTTGTAGTGAATGAAATAAAAATACATCACACCAACCTTCCTGATCAGGAAAACCAAATTGCCCATACAAATTCAAAGTACATTTGGAAAGGATGTGCTGATATAAGGGAAATCATTCAAATGTCTTAGTTTGTTCTCTAACCAGATATAACATTCATTTAGTGAACGTGCAAAGTTATAATGGCACAGAAAAATGCAAGTTACAACCGGTCCTCGCACTTGCAACCATCATAGCATTCCCCACAAACACATGAACAGAATTTAAGCACATGGCAACTGGCACATATTTACAACGGTTCCTGGGTTCATGTGATGGCCACTTACCACCTTCCTAGCGGGCTTCTGACAAGCAAAGTCAATAGGGGAAGCCTAATTCACTTAACGATTGCATGATTTACTTAACAACTACCGTTATTCACTTAATAACCATTGCAAAAACGGTCCTAAATTGGTCACAATTCAACGCCATGGATCAGCCGTGGAAATTCTGATCCCAATTGTGGTCATAAATCAAGGACTACTTGTATACAAATTAGAAGATTGCAAAGGTAAAATGGGGGAGAGTAGAATTGTTCTTAGGCTTTATTTAACATAAATCTTAAGCTTTTAGCCCAATGGCTACTACAGGTAGTCCTTGACGTACGACCACAATTGAGCCCAAAATTTATGTTGCTAAGTGAGACAGTTGTTAAGTGAGTTTTGTACCATTTTACGACCTTTCTTGCCACAGTGGTTAAGTGAATCTCTGCAGTTGTTAAGTTAGTAAGATGGTTGTTAAGTGAATCTGGCTTCCCCATTGACTTTGCTTGTCAGAAGGTCACAAAAGGTGATCACATAACTCCAGGACACTGCAGCTGTCATAAATATGAGTCAGTTGCAAAGCATCTGAATATTGATCATGTGACCATGGGGATGCCACAACAGTCATAAGTGTGAAACACGGTCTTAAGTCACTTTTTTCAGTGTCGTCGTAACTTCGAACAGCCACTAAATGATTTTTTTAAGTCGACAAGTATCTGTACTCAGTCCAACCTACCTCAAAGTGAAAATGTTACGGGGATAAAGCTAGTGAACGAGACTCTTCCCAGTAAATTGCTTTTTCAAAAAAAGCCAGATAAAAATGCACCACATAGGTAGTAATGAAAGATTCCCATAATTCTCACCCAATTCGGCCTTCAGTCTATGAGCTATGGCAAAGTCCAATCTATTCTGAAGCCTCAGAACAGGGAAGGTTTCTCCCTACCTGAAGAAATACTGATATTGAGACAGTCTTCCTCTTTTCTCAAGTCTGTTAGATCTAATTTAACTCTCTCTGGGAAGAAAATCCCACAGCCACTGGAAGCCATTTTCCTTAATCCTTGTTTCAGAAGCATTCAAGGAATCCTAGGTCCTGTCGCAAATCATAATTTCTTCCTCCCTCCCCTCCTTCCCCCACCTTTTTTTCCCTTTTTTTTAATTCTAGGGACACAGCTAATGCAGTGAAGGAGAAGTTTGGCAAAAAACTGTACGAATCCCTCCTCGTGTAAGTCTCCTAGGAGAAGGCTAGAAGAAATATGAGAAAGTGCTGAGCATCGGAGAATGGACTGCTGGGTTGCCATGGCTACAGAGAATGGGAACTTAAGAGACCTTTTCCTTCTCTTTGCCTTGTCTCTTCTGAGAAGTATTAATTTGATTGAAGCCTATTTCAGAAATCCTGGTTCCGATATAAAAATGCGCATCCAAGTGATAAGCAGTACTGAAAATATTATTTAAAAAAAAAGATTTTTATTCACTTACGATATAAAATACGAAAATACAAAAACAAATAGTAAGGAACAATGGTAGGGGAGGGGAAAAGAGAATTGTGGAAAAGGGGGAAAAGAAAAAAAAGGCGTTGATTTCCAATTCTCTCTGTGGCAGTAGGATAAGGCATTAACATCGAATCTCAACTTTTTACATTTCTATAGTAGTATGAACTAGCCATTTCTATACCAACAAATCAGTAAAACCCAAAATCATAGTATCATTTTTTTTCTACCTTAAGCACAAAGTCCAGAAGCGGTTTCCAAGTAGAAACAAAAGTACTTATATTCTTTTTTTTATCAAAACAGTCAATTTAGCCATCTCTGCTAATTCCATTAGCTTTTGTAGCCATCCGTCCATGGTGGCGATCAAAACAACCTTCCATTTTTGTGCGTAGAGCAGTCTTGCTGCCATCACCTTATATAAAATCAGAGTTCCATTTTTTTTCCAAGTCTTTTTCTATTAGACCCAGAGTACTGTAAATATTATTAATTTCCACATTATTCATTGCCTGCTTTTCCATTTCAGGGGGAACCTTCCTGACATGAACAAAATGTTGGACAAAGAAGATTTCACAATGATGAAGAGAGCCATCTTTGCCACTCAGGTATGGGCCATGAAGAAAAATGAGTCTTGAAAAAAATTGGTCAGAGTATTTGCACATGAAAAATGAGTTTATTTCACGTTAATAATACAGGTACTCCTCAACTTAACAATCATTCATTTAGAGACAGTTCAAAGTTACAACAACACTGAAAAAAGCGACTTGCCACCAATCTTCACACAAATGACTATTGCAGTATTTCTGATCAAAATTCAGGCACTTGACAGCTGGCATCTATTTACAATGGTTGCAGCATTTTGGGGTTATGATGGCCATTTGCGACTTTCCCAGCCAGCCAGATTTGTTTAACAACTACACAATTCACAACAACTGCTGCAATCTGCTCACTAACTGTGGCAAAAAAGGTTGTAAAATTGGGCACAACTCACAACCCCTTTGCTTAGCAATGGAAATTCTGGTCCCAATTGTGATTGTGAGTTGAGGACTACCTGTAACCATTTATTTTATGACTATTCATCTCACACAAAGCGATTCTGGGCGGTTGCAATTAGGCTGAGAGTCTCTTAGAACGACACGTAGCTAGATGAGTGTGAGCAGAGGATTCTGGGAGTCTGGAAATAAATTCCTGGATTGTAGGTTGCTTTCATTCAGCCCTCCCCGTATTGGCTGAGTGGACTTCTGACTCTGGATTGTCAGCAGTGACGATGCTGGTTCTGGAGATAGAAAAGACTCTTGTGATTGAAGCTGCATTGGAACAGAGATGATAACTTCATAGAAGAGTGTTGGATTCGTGTTCCTCAATTAAGATATCTTGGTTTACTGGACTTGTCTTAGAAAAAGGGGGGGAAATGAACATTGTTCGGAGTTTGAGGAAGGATCTTGTGTTTTGTATAAAATAACATTTAATCCTCCTCCCCTTCTTTCCCGATCTGGAATTTTTCAGCTCAGTCTCTGGTTTACCATCTCAGTGAAAGCTGCATCTCAGTAGAAAATAAGCCAGAATATTCCATTATAAAGTCAAGAATGCCACATTGAGGTGTATGGAGAAGTGAGATCTGCCTTTCTTTCCAGGGTCTCTGAATGAGAAATAAGATTCCCCTGGAGACATGGGTGGCACCTCTCTCCTGGGGTTCCAGAAGGACTTTAAAGCATCATCAGTTTTCAGGCCTGGAGTAGTGTATCTGAGACACCCCTATAATGTTTTGTATTATGCTTTTATTAGTATGGTTATTTTTAATCTAGGCTTTCACATTTCTTACATGTGTTTCTTTTTTCAAATGGTTTTTTAATATATTGTAATCCACCTAGAGTCTGCTGGAGTGAGTGGCCATAAGAAATGAGATTAAATAAAGAAGAAATGAGATTAAATAAATAAACACTGATGAATGTACTAAGTTCTGCACATGCCCCCAAACACATTTCATGCATTCTGTGATTAGACAGGAAATCCACATTCTTCACTCAGAAAACATATGAGAAAAGGAGAGAGAAATTATCTTTAAATATAAAGTGATTCCTTCAGGTAACCATCATATATTGTCCTGCCAGATTTACACAGTAGGAGAAGCAGGAAAAATATAGAAGGTATCTTGGATTCAGTTTAATGTGTGAATTACAGGCTTTGCTTCTCTTCCAGATTTAAGATTTTAAATCTGAGCTTTTAACATCAGTCTGGATTTTTTTTTCCCCTCTTCAATCAGCGTCATTCTTTCCCCCCAATCTGTACTCACAACATGCTGGATGATTCTACCGACCCTATTCTGAACACCATCAGGCGCATCGGTCTCTTCAATAGCAGTGCCGACCGTGTCAAGGTGAGTAACAGGTGCCAGGTGAGGGGAGATATTTGGGGGAGATATTTGCAGTAAAGTATTTTTAAAAGCATTTTAAAATATTATAACTTCCAGCATTTTTAAGATGATGCTGGCAATTATAATATTTAGTGCCTGATTTTATCTGGTAATTTTTGTCTTTTAATTGTCCTGTCGACCTTTTATTTATTCTTGGAAATCTTATGGTAATAATGATAAGCCAAAATGATTGAAGGAAAGAATGGTGGTTTACAGTCTATTCTGAATTTCCTCTGCTGGCATTTTTTGAACTCAGGCCCTTTTCTTTTAGTCTTGGTGTCTATAGTTGCTGTGAATAATAATAACAATTTTTAGTGGATGCAATTTAGATATATGTCCAATGTATTTTAAATGTTTTATTGTAATTGGTATATGGCCATATTTTACTGTGTTTTATAGTTGCCATATTATTTTTTCTTTTCATCTTTTGGCTTTATTCCTAAAACGAAGTTATGTTTATCAGAATCTTTGTACTTTTAGTTTGCTTTTTTAACTGCTTATTTCCATGGAATATATTATTTTTAAAAAGGATCCTGTATTATCATAATCCCTTACAGACACATGAATTGAATACTAGCAGCGTAAACTTGAATCAGCTATATGCACATACATAAAGATACACATGGATGAAATGCAATATACAATTTTAAAGATGGCTGTGCCCACAAGAGCAGATGTGATGTATGTTTTCAAATGTATCCTCACTACATCACCATGGTGTTTTATGGCTTTTTTATAATTATTCATAATAATATTACAGGTAGTTCTCAACTTACAACCACAATTGAGACTACCACTTCTGTTGCTAAGCAAGACAGTTGAGTTTTGCCCCATTTTACAGCCTTTCTTACCACAGTTGTTAAGTGAATCGCTGCAGTTGTTAAGTCGGAGACACGGTTGTTAAGTGAAATCTGGATTCCCCATTGACTTTGATTGTTAGAAGTCACAAAAGTTGATCACATGACCCGGGGCACATTGCACAACTGTCATAAATATGAATCGGTTGCCCAGCATCTGAATTTTGATCACGTAACCATGGGGATGCTTTGGTGGTTGTGTGAAAAATAGTCACGTCACTTTTTTCAGTGCTGTTATAACTTTGAACAGTTACTAAACGAACTGTGGTAAGTCAAAGACTACCTGTATTGCATTATATTAAATCACTAGAAGTTGATTCTTGAGTTTGATAGTACATAAACAAATAAATACAATCTCTTTCTCTTTTTCCTTTTCTCCTCCCTAGGTCATCTTCCATCCAGAATTTCTGTCTTCCACTAGTCCGTTGCTTCCTGTTGACTATGAAGAATTTGTTAGAGGCTGCCATTTGGGGGTGTTTCCTTCCTATTATGAACCATGGGGCTACACACCAGGTAGGTGGGTTGTAAGGGCAGGCTTGTGGGTATTGACTCAACACACACACACACACACGCACGCACACACACACACCATTCCAATGTACTTGGGTACTGAAAATAAACCCTAGTATTTCTGTCATCAGAAACACAGAATGAAATAGATTGGTGTTGTTAGTTGCAAAGTCATGTCCGACCCATCGCAACGCCATGGACAACATTCCTCCAGGTCTTCCTGTCCTCTACCATCTTCTGGAGTCCATTTAAGCTCATGCCTACTGCTTCAGTGACTCCATCCAACCACCTCATTCTCTGTCGTCCCCTTGTTCTATTGCCCTCAATCTTTCCCAGCTTTAGGCTCTTCTCCAGTGAGTCCTTCCTTCTCATTAGGTGGCCAAGGTACTTGAGTTTCAACTTCAGGATCTGGCCTTCTAAAGAGCAGTCAGGGTTGATCTTCTCTAGGACTGACCAGTTTGATTGCCTTGCAGTCCAGGGGACTCGCAGGAGTCTTCTCCAGCACCATAGTTCAAAGGCCTCAATTCTTTGGCGCTCAGCCTTTCTTATGGTCCAACTTTCACAGCCATACATTGCAACTGGGAAAACCATGGTCTTGACTATACATACTTTTGTTAGCAGGGTGATGTCTCTGCTTTTTAGTATGCTGTCTAGATTACATAGTTGTGCTCACTTTGAAGACATCTACAGATGTTCAAAATTACAACAGCATTGAAAATTACAACAGCATTTTTGAACCAAGGTAGGGGTTCAGAATGGGCAAATTTTATAAAATGTTTTATGACAAAAATTATCATAAAACAGTTTATGACATAATACAAAATGCCTTGCAACATTTCCCGTGCTGATGTTTGACTGTGCTACACAGTTCAACATGGGCTATTTTCAAGAGGGATACCCCTGTGAATATATGCCAACTTTTCCAGTGAAGACAATGCCTTAGAAACACTTTCACTGTTGAAGCTATTGAGGAAGGGAATATGTTTGAAAGGACAACCAAACAGGCACAGATTGTCAGTGGATACCACAGAGTCACAAGATTGCACCAGGTATGTTTTGCACATAATTCTGCGTGCATTTTGTTAGTCTTGAGACTTATTAACTTTGCTTTCCAAAAGTGATGGAAGAGAAAGAGCCAAGATGGTCTTGAATTTTTCATCTGAAATTCATTTCTTTTAGTGTATTTTATCATTGTTCGACCCACTGCAAACAATAAGGCCTTTTTTAGCCATTCACCTACATGTTTTCCCACTTAATTCCTCAAGTACTTTCCTAAGTGTTGGTTTTTCCTTCTTCAGTTTAAGGAGATGGAACTATTAAAAATAATGGAGGTGCATGTTTTATATATAATTTATCAGGAAACCTTGTCCAGAATAAGTAATATGACATCAAAATACATTGGAAATATCCAAGTGGGGCGATAATCTACTATAGTAGATTGCTAGTGTTTTTAGCCAGTTGTGCCTTATTCCAGGTTATTGTTTCCTTCTTTCCCGGTAGTCAATCAGCTTTCCACGTAACTATGTAATGTTATGATTATATCATATCATGTAAATCATCTATTGATTAAAAAATAAATAAATTATGTGAGTAGTTCTGCTTTGGCTAGAAAAGGATGACAACTCATTTCTGAACCTTATTAAGGGAAGAGATATAAAAACAAAATTATATTATGAATCATGGCTGAAATGAAAAGAGGGGCAGATAAGTAAATGTAAATTTGAGGAAAGCACAGCCTCTTGTAATGCCTACAGCAAAGTTCTGGTGATAATAAAATAGTTGTTTACTATTCTTAATATGTACATAAAATCTGTAGGGAGTGGAAAGCTTAGTAAACTCAAGTGACCAAAATTGAACAGGCTCCAAGATAAATTCTTGAGATAGTGCATATCCCCAGGATTGAATCCCTCCGTGTCCTCCAATGACCTCTCTCTTATCCTCCAGCTGAATGCACCGTGATGGGGATCCCCAGCATTTCCACCAACCTCTCTGGCTTTGGCTGCTTCATGGAAGAACACATAGCAGATCCATCTGCCTATGGTTGGTATCACATCGGGACCTCAGGAAACAGGGATTGGCACAATGGGAACATGTGCAACCCTTGCTCAACCACAAGATAATTCCTTCAGGTGGATCTGGGGAGAATAATTTGGGTGGGTAGATCAATCTATACATTTCTGGAAGAAAAAATATTGGGAGAAATGACTTAGGGTGATTCCATCCTGCTTGTTCTAGCCCAATCTTAGCTGATTAAAGCAAGATTTCTGGGGCATAAGGGAGCAAAAATTCAAAGATCAGTGGTATTCCATTTGGAGAAGATTGAGCCATTTCAATCTACTGTATAAGATAGATGTTAAGATATTTAAATTTGGTAGCTGAAGTGTAGTGAGTCGGAATACACAGTTATAGCTGATTGGTTGCTACGCTGTGATTGGTTGCTATGCGTGTGGAGGGGGAGTTTCACTTTTTCCCTCCATCTTTTTCTTCTGTGTGTCCCATATGCTCTTGATTTATCTGATGATGCTCCTGTTTGCCTGACTGCCTTATCTGATGTATATATAGATGTAAAATATATTTATTTATATAAAAACTACAAGTACAAGTCAGCATCTATGATTCCATTTGGATACCAGCTGCACAATTCCCTGACAATAGAGCATCATAAAGGCAGGCGTGTACTGGATAAAACATTTTTCATTACAGGCAATCCTTGACTTGTGACTATTTATTCAAAGTTACAACAGCACTGAAAAAAGCGATTTACCAGTAGTCCTTACACTTAACAACCTTTGGAGTGTTCCCACAGTCACATGATCAAAATTTGGATACTTGGCAACTGACATGGCTTTATGACCGTTGTAGTGTCACATGATTACCATTTGCAACTTTCCCAGCTGCTTTCCAACAAGCAAAATCAATGGGGAAAGCCAGGGTCACTTAAAAAACATGTAATTCAATTAACGACCATGGTGATTCACTTAAGAGCCATAGCAAAATAGGTCATGAAATTGGGAGCAACCATAACAGTCACCTAACTTACCAGTGGAAGTTCCTGTCCTAATTGTGGTTATAAGTCAAGGACCATCTGTATATTATTCTCTAGCATCTCGGGCAACAGCCATTCAGTTAGGCATAAGAGAATCAGCCTTGTCTTCCTTTGGTCAGTTGTCAGCTCTCTGTATTGAATCCAAGGTGATGCCGTGCTTTGATATCTTTTTGGTTCCCACCAGGGATCTACATCTTAGACAGGCGTTTCCGAAGCTTGGATGAGTCGTGCACGCAGTTGACCTCTTTCCTCTACAGCTTCTGCCAGCAGTCACGGCGGCAGCGCATTATCCAGCGAAACCGCACAGAGAGGCTTTCCGATCTCTTGGATTGGAAATATCTTGGAAGGGTGAGCTTTTTCTTCACAGTGACATGCAATGGTGGTAGTCCTCCTCCTCCTCTACTCTATGGCAGTTCACCTGCTTTCCTTCCTGTGTTGTAATCCCCATGTTTGCCTCTAGAGGGCGTATAGTGCAAATACTACTTTATCCTTTTTTTTCCACTGATGGACCTTTCCTGTTCAACCAGTCCTTTTTTATGATCATAACTTCTCTGCCCTGTGCAATTTCCTGGAAGCAGAAATAAATTTGAAGACAGATCAGGAATATTACCAGCTTTTTTGGGGGGGGGGTTAAGTAAAAGCACCTGTCAGTAGATTATGGGGAGTAGTACAAACAATTATGTGCATAATTATTTATTTACAATGTATGAGGTCTCCCAAGAAGTTTTTCCCTACCTGTAACAAGGCTAGTGTCAAATTATTCTCAACTCACTGTTGAAAAAGTTGGACATGGTAAAAGCTCCTTGAAAAGGTTTTCTTCCCAATACATTCTGGTTCACGTCAGAACGCAACTCTGCATTTGAAGTTATTGGATTATTTTCCTTTCTTAAAGGAAAAAAAACCGAGAAGGAAAAAATGTCTACTTTATAAACGATCATTATTAAATCTTTTTTACCCAAAGAGTAAATTTCATATACAGCATTTCATATACGGGTCCTGAGTTCCTAATTTAGAGAAAATCTAGTACAAATGAGGGAGAAAAATTCTTCTTCAACTCAACTTTATCAGTGAAGTCCTTAAAGCAAATGATAGATTGCATATTCTTGTGGCAACTGCAATTCACACACACACACATGTACTTCCCTAAATGAGAACTTAATAACTGGAAGTTTCCTCATACAATAAATAAACATTGACTTATGACCGTTCATTTAGCAACTGTTCAAAATTATAACGGTGCTGAAAAGAAGTGACTTACAACAATTTCTTACAGTTATGACCATCAAAGTATCCCTGTGGTCACGTGATCAGAAGTTGAAAACTTGGCAACTGGCATGTCTCTATGTTGGTTGCAGACTCCTAGGGTCATATGATGACCATTTGTAACCTTCCCAGCCGGCTTCTGATAAGCAAAGATTGCCCCTCCCCCATTGAAGGGGAAACTGGATTTATTCAGCAATCACGAGATTTACTTAAAAAAACGTGGTCATTCACATGGCAAAAAAGGTCATAAAAATGAACTCAATGCTTAGCGACAGAAGTTCTGGTGCCAGTTGTGGCCACAAATCAAGGATTACCCACATTTTCCTTATAGGCAAAAGGGTATTGTAGATCTTCTTCAAAATGTTCATTTTGAAAATTATATTTGAATAGGAAAGCATTCCACTCCACAGGCTGCGATACAAAGCAATGTTGCTACAAATATGAATTAATTTCAACATCTTATTGTTTTGACATTTATGAAGCCTTCATTATGGGGACCAAAGTTCATTCATCCCTAAAATCAAAGGGAAGTTCAACAAACTGTTGAAAATATTGTAAAATTCTAGGTCCGTTTAAGTATATGCTGAGATATGGTAATAAAGAAAAACTGGGGAGATAAAATAGATTATAGGATAAATAGATTATAGGATTAAAGACATAGCTATTGATATGGGTCTCTAATTATGGTATCCTCCAGATGTGTGATCTTCAGCTTCCAGAATTTCCCTTAGCCAACTTGGCCATTTCTAAGAATTCTGAGAATTGCCCCCATCTTGGCGAAGGCTGATCTAATAAACAGTGGTGGGAAATACCTATCTTTTTAATGAACTGCCATGCTTCCCACCTGCTTCACTGGCCCTTATCCCTCACCTGTCTCTTTTTCCACAATAATCTTGCAATTCAGGAAGCGATCTGGCATTTGCCAATTTGCTGGACGCCTTTTTGTAGGCTGACAAAGTTGCCTTTGTTTCTCCATCTACAGAAAAGGAAGTTGGGTGGTGGGGAGAAGAACTCTGTGTGGGGAAGACGGGAGGCCATGTTTCGATCTCACCCAGCACTTGTTTTGAGCCATATCAACTCATGGCAGCCATGGATTCCCAAGAGGGTTACACAGACGCAAATGCAACGTAAAAATTGAGCTGCCCAGGGCAAAGCAGGCCATAGCTTAAATGTAGATACAGCGAAAGCTCCCCTGCTTATCCCCATCAGCCCCGTTCCTTCCATCCATCAAAGAATCTGACTGTAGAGAAACCTGATCCCATCAACTCTTGAAGACAGAAATCAATTGTTTTAGAACCAAGTTGATGATTCTGCAGTTCTGGGCCCAAAGGGAATCTTTTCAATGGGTTTTGGAAAGCAGATGTGTGTTGACTGCCTGACTGATAACAGATTCTGTGGCTTGCAGTGGGAATGGGAAGAAAATCAGCAATGGGGGCAGAATCCCAGCATTCATTTTGTCTTTTCTCCTACCATACTCTTCTTTGCAGTATTACATGTATGCCCGGCATATGGCCCTTGCAAAGGCCTTCCCTGATAACTTCACCTATGAGCCACACGAAACAACTGCGGTAAGTAAGGTCCCTTGTGGGAGGCGAAAGAGACCTAAGCCTTATATAGGGTCCCCTTACAACGTGATTTACAGCTGTTCATTTAGTGACTATTCCAAGTTAGAGTGGCATTGAAAGCAAGTGACTAAGGCCGATCCTTAGATGCAACAGTCACATGATCAAAATTTGGGTGCTTGGCAACTGGCATGTGTTTACAATAGTTGCAGCATCCCAGGGTCATGTGAATGCCATGTGGGACTTTCCCAGCTGGCTTCCAGCAAGCAAAGTCAATGGGGGAAGCCCAACTTGCTTAATGACCACAGGATTCACTTAACAACTGCAGGTTTTTTTGCTTAAAAACTGTGGCACAAAAAGGCTGTAGAATTTACTGTGACTCGCTTAACAACCACCTTGCTTAACAACAGAAAGTCTGGCCTCAGTTGTGGTTGTAAGTCTTTAAAATCCAGCATCAGCTCAGACGATTGCCCACTAATACAGCAGCTTCTCAAGGCACAACTTCAGATTAAGGAGATCCACTTGAAAGAATTACTAGATGGGATCTTTTAAAAGTGGTAACACCTGAGATCTTTGAGAGCCACAGTCAGTTAGAAAAAATGCAAACATCAACTCCACCAACCAGTGTCTGTTGCCATATCCTGGATTTTGCCTAAAAAGCCACAGTTGTGTCCCAGCTTTGCTCTTTTTCATATTTATTTGTGCCCCAGTCTCCCCCAGCCTTTACCAATCAGGTTGGGAAAGTAGTTTTACAAACTCTAAGAAAACAGGCCCAGCTTTGAAGGCCTTAGGACAGAAGTGTCAAGCTGCTGGCCCGCAAGCCGGTTGCATCATACGGAGGCCGCACCCACCCCAGCTCCGGCAATGCAAAAAAAGTCACGATATGTCAAGACACGTCACGTGATACGGCGAGTTTGACCCCCGTGCCTTAGGAGATGAGTTCAGAGGATTGGGGAAGAGACAGAGGCAGGAATGAAAGTGAAAAATAATGCAGTTGTTCCATTATAACCAAGCTCAAATTTATGGAAGGCAAGAAGGGCAAAAGGTAAATCTAAGTATACCGCTTGGTGATGCGCAGTAGAGTGACATGGATTTCTAATCAGCTCAATACAGGTCATCCTCAACTTACAAACCATTTATTTAGTGACCAAAGTTGCAATAGCACTGAAAAAAGTGATTTATGGTCGTTTTTCACCTGACAGTTGCAGCATCCCTGTGGTCATGTGATCAAAATTCATATGCATGGCAACTGGCATGTATTCATTATGGTTGCAGTGTCCCGGGGTCACGTAATTCTGCTTTTGCGACCTTCCGACAAGCAAAGTCAATGGAGAAGCCAGATTCACTTAACCACCATGTTACTAACTTAACAATTGCAGTGATTCATTTAACAACTGTGGCAAGAAAGGTTGTAAAATGGGGCAAGACTCAGTTAACAACTGACTTAGCAACATAAATTGTGGGTTCAATTGTGGTCGTAAGTTAAAAACTACCTGTGTCTAGAAAGATTTTTTGCCTTGCTAAAAAGGCCTGAAAGGGTTGAGGAGATTTGCGTGTGATTTGATTCTACTGTTATTCACAAACTCCCAACTGGGCATATGTCCCAAATTTGTAGGGTCTGTCCACTTATTTGAGCCAGTTCCAGAAGGTGAACTTCAAGGTTCTGAAAAAAGGGCAAAGTAAATTCTACAGGATGAAATGTCCCGTTGCACAGTTTGCGGCTGAAAGTCCATGATGCAGGTCCCAGTAACCCTCTTTCCAAAATTGTCCCCGAGTTGTAAACTGCTAGAATGAGAAAACAGTAAATCCGAGTGGCTAATGAAAGAGAAGGCTATTTCATGGATTGCATTCTTTTTGTTGTTGTCTGGGTTGCAGTTCTCAAAGGGCAGGTAGTGTTCTCACCTTGGAAAAATGGAACAGAAGCTGGGATGCTGGTCCTGCAGTGTGATTTCAAAAACAGAGTTCAGGGGTTCTAGGAAGTGGTTGAAAGCAGGAGGGGGGGGGACAAGAGACCCCAGGCGACGTTGATTGATTTTTTTGCCGTTCTTTTTTCCCCCATCCACTCTGCTCCCCTGTCCTCAACTTTGCAGGCTCAGGGTTTCCGCTACCCACGCCCAGCCTCGGTCCCACCCTCTCCTTCCATCTCCCGCCACTCCAGCCCCCATCACAGCGAGACCGAAGAGGATGATGAACGGTACGACGAGGAAGAAGAGGCAGAAAAGGACAGGCAGAACATCAAGCCCCCAGCCATGATGGGTCCGGTCCCTGAATGGCGAAAGCACTCCAAGAAGGGGTCTAGCGAGGCAAGCACTTCCTCTAATGCTAGCACCCCCACCCTCCCCAGCAGCCCCAGTGACCTCAGCAGCCCCACCAATTCTCTGATCGAAGAGAAGAATTAGGTAGGCAGGCTGACTCCCCTGTCTGCTCTTTTCCCACGCCTCCCCCTGTCCTCAAGAGCCCAGCTTGTTACCTAGTGCTGCATTCTGAAATAAGCCTAGAGTGTAGGTTCTAGGGTGTTCCAGACAGAAGTGTTGAGGGCTCACACTTGACGTAGTTCGGTTAAAGAACAGTAAGACAGTCTTCTCTGGATGACAGAATGCCAAGGATGGAGGACCTCTTCCTCTGGAAGGTGTCAGGAAGTGACCCATTGGCTCTTTTTGCAGAACACAAGAGAACATCCTTGTGTCGAGCAGGATTGAATATGTAAGGTCATGCATTTCCTCCTCCCAAACACCCTCCATATGCTGCTGATGTTTTGGAAGGCATTCTCCAGGTCTTAAGAACCTAGCTGCATTTTTTAAACAAATAATAAATACTACTAATGGGAGAAAAGGGAAAATGGGAGGCCTTCATGGGAAGGACACAGGAAAGGTATCGTGTTACCTCCCCTTCCCTACCAACAAAGGTTTCATTGAACCAGAAACAGAGCAGACCTTTTAAAGGCTGCTCATAAAATGAGCGCATCTAATATTATTATCTTTTTGGGTAACCCTAGACCAGTGATGGCAAACCTTTTAGAGACCAAGTGCCCAAACTGCAATCCAAAACCCACTTATGTATCGTTGGGTGCTGGGTGGGTGTGGACCTTTGGGTGGGCATGGCCTCTTGAGTGGGCATGGCCTCGATGGTAGCGGCAGACTGGGCGGGACTAAAAAGTTCAATCAATCAATTCCAACTTTGTGAGATCTTATTTTTTTCCCGCGAGAAGTTGAAATTGATTGAACCTTTTTTTTTTTGCACACGCCGGTGGAGGCCTAAAGAGAAAAGATTTTATAAAACCCAGCTGAAGGCCTAGGACTGGGGTGACGGTGCGCGTGCCCACAGAGAGGGCTCTGTGTGCCACCTGTGGCACACGTGCCATAAGTTCGCCACCACGGCCCTAAACAATTGGTGTGGAAGCCTGGTGAGAATGTCTGCTCAACAGGATTTTAGAATGATCTGGAGGACTATGAAAGACAGTGTATTGCTCAGAATTTGGGAACTTCCTTTAAAAGCCATGACTCTGCACTTCTTTAGACAGAGCCTTTTAAAAAAAAAGAAGAAAGAAAAGAGGATGTTTCCTAATACGTCCAGACAATCTCAATTCATACTTTGGGACCGTTTGCCAGTTAGCTGCGTCTGTTTCTGGAAAGGAATTTGCAAAGCCATTTAGAGCAAAGATTCTAACAAAAGGAAGATCTTCTGAAAAGGGCCATTGTAGAAAGAGCTGAAAAAATGCCAATGGAAGAGGATATGGAATTTGAGGAATAGAAGCTTTCCTGCTTGATGTTTTCCAGCCTGTTGTTCTCCAGATGTGCTGGGCTTCAACTCCCATCATCCTCAGCCAACATGGCCAGGGATCAGGGATGGGTATTGTAAAGTGTCCAAAGGATCAAAATGTGCATTTATATGAAATGCTAAGGTGCAAGAAGACTTAGGGCCACCTTGCCACATACCCGTATTTATTCGAGTATAACGCGCACACGTGTATAACGCGCACCCCTAATTTTCGATTAAAAATCGGTATAAAATTTTGTTTCACTTTTTCTCGGCTCAGACCAAGCATTGTAAGTGACAAACGTTGTTGAACACGTGCGGCCATGATAAAAATCATTTATTGACAACGTAAACTATGAACACAATACCGAAATAAAATTACCGGTAACAATATTTATTTAAAATGCTTCAAGGTCAGATTCATCATCAGATACACTAAAGAGTTGTTCCCATTCTTCTCGAGTTAATTTATCATCAGTGTCCCAGTTGGCAGGAACATCTGTTTCTCCAGTTTCTTCGCTTTCTTCTGAGTCTGAATTCCACAGCAGGTCGTCTTCTGTGCCGTCCATTTTATTGCTGATGCCTGTCTTTAAAAAACTCTTGATGATCATTTCTTTTGGCATGTCTTCCCATGATGTTTTAATCCAGGATGTCACGAGAGATAAGCCAGGTTTCTTGAGGTTTCCTTTTGCAGTCAATTCTTTGTCGTCGGATTTCATCCAGGTAATCCACTTTTCCCTGACTCTGTCTTTGAAGGGTTTGTTTAAAACAACATCTAGTGGCTGAAGAATAGAGGTTAGTCCACCTGGAATCACAGCTTGAAATGTTTTTAGACTTTTCAGTTTATCCTTCACAGTGTCTGTCAGGTGTGAGCGGAACTGGTCCCATACAAGCATGGATTTCTTCAGTAGTGCGCCTGGTCTAGTATTCCAAACTTTATTTAACCATAAAATGATGCCCTTCTCATCCATCCATCCTTTAGGATGACAATGGATCACGACACCTGGTGGAAATTTAACTCCTTTTGGAATAGTCTTTCTTTTAAAAATCACCATTGGTTTAAGTTTAAAACCGTCTGCCATACAGGATAACACAACCGTAAAATGAGTTTTCTCATGGCCTGTGGTTTTAATCAGGACTGTGTGCTTCCCTTTGCTGTCAATTGTCCTGTTGCCTGGTAGGTCAAAACACATGGGGGTCTCATCCATATTGCCTATCTGTGAAAGTTCAAAATTAATCTGCTTGCGTTGGTTGATTATAAAGGTATGGAATGAAGCGATCTTCTCTTCTAAATCATTTGGCAGCTTCTGTGCTATCTTTGTTCTCTGGCGTATTGCAAGTCCATGCCTTTTCATAAACTTTTGTGTCCATCCATTAGAGGCTTTGAAGGTTGAATCTTTGCAAAACTTTTGGGCATGAAGTCTAATGTGGAGTGATGTGACGATGAACCCACTACTTCTTTGGTCAATGATCCATTCATAAAGTTCCTTCTCCATGTCTGGGTACATGGCTTGTCTCCCTCGTTGTGCTTTTTTGGTTTTATTCATATCTTTCAGGACGACTTTCTGTTTTCTCCATTCTCTAACATTCGTCTCTGGTACAGTGAATTCTCGGCTAGCTGCTCGATTTCCGTGAATTTCAGCATGATCAACAACTTTGAGCTTGAATGAAGCGTCATATGCAGAACGTTTTCTCTTGATACCCTGAGTTGCCATCTAACGGGA